AAAGCCTACTGATGAAATCGTGAATTCCACAACTGTGTGGAATTCACGACCGCATCAGGCGAGATTCGAATATGAAAATCGTGAATCCCACACTTTTTCGAAAAAATGACCATCTACGGTAAAAAACGTACTACAGTATTATTTCTAAAAGGTAATAGATCAGATTTATCCATTTAGTTTATTTCTTGAACGCCAATTGACGGAGAAAATCAGTGTTTTCCCTCTCCTGTAAAATTTGCTTCGTGTGGAATTCACAATTTCATCAGGCGACCGACGATATGTCCGTTCAACACTCCCTGGATATTTACTGCTGCATTCTGTTCCCAGTAAATATCTAATATAATTCGTAAATCTTTCCCATCTATGTTTAGGTCTCCGAATTTTTTTTTAGAGGATCTTGTCTAGAGTTCTTTAAAAAAACCTTTGAATAAGTAATGAAGCATATTATCTAAAGGTTTCGTTATGTTGCAATACATCTTTCCATTAAAACCGTTAGGCTGAAACCGGTGTCTGTGGTGTAGTGGTTGGGCCATTCGCTTTTGCAAGTGGGGGATCTGAGTTCGATTCCCAGGTGGAGAGAATTTGTTTTGAGTATCTCAGTCTTTCTGCTGGGATGTGATATCCTTCTCAGCTCACTTCGCCCTAGCAGGCATTGTCGAAAGCTTTACCTCTAAATGATCTAAATTATGTCGTAAGGGGCGTAAAAACCCAAGACCCGCATTTAAAAAAACCGTTAGGGCAAATATACCATTTCGGGAGCCTTTGTCGGACATAAAACAAAATTGCGCTTTAAATATCTAGGGTTTTAAACTATTTCACATTCTTGGAGTTAGTACAAGGAGTTGGCCATAAAATGACTCTTTATTCTAACTGTTCTGTGCAGTTTACACTCTGCAGCCATTGGTCATTTTAGCACAGCTATAAAAATGTAATGAAATGGTCTAGAATTTCACCACTGTGATAGCTAGATTAAGTTTAATGTCTCTGTTGTATGCTTCCAGGGAAGCCAAGAATGATTTTGAGTGTTTTTGGGTCCGCTGGGGTAATAATAGTTGTAAAGCGCATAGAACATGCTGTAGAACGTGGATATGTGCTATATGAATGCAGTTGTTATTATTATTATTATTATTATTATCATTATTATTATTATTATTATTATTAGTAGTAGTAGTAGTAGTAGTAGTAGTAGTAGTAGTAGTAGTAGTAGTAGTAATGTTATTATCATTATTACTATTTCAGAATCCATTTTCTGGTGTGACAGCAAAACCAACCAGAGTAATGCATTTTCTGGTCCATTAACTTTTCTATAAGACCAGCTGCTTGTCGTAAATTTCTTTCAAAACTGGTGGTCCAATTTTTATTTTTTTCACTTTTATTGTTTTTGTTAATACTCTTTATGTATTCTCGTCATATTTACAAAGCACCCGCTTTGTTCATCGAAGTACCCTCCCCCCCCTTTCTTACGCTGCCTTTGTTTGAGTGTCCTATTCTCCTTCTTACTTCTTTGATTTTGGAATGTATTTCATGTATTTACTCAGACATGATATAATATGGCCTAAATCACTGACCGCTCAAGGCGATGGTATGATGATTACATAGCATTTCTGAAACATTTCAGTTCAAGTTTAAAGTCTATTTCTTTTTCAGTCCTATCACTACGACTATTTCATGCTTATTGGCTTTTTGTGTGATTCTCCTCCCAGGAGCATGTATTTGAAACCACGAAACTTTTATCTACACTATTCTATAAGACACTCAATATAATCTTTTTCGTCATCTTTTCCCATGATCCAACCATATCTCCCATGCACGTGACTCCTGTCTTTACTTGAAAGTTGCCAACAAGTATCCTTTGTCTTGAGACTTTAGTTGTTTCAGTGCCTGATCGAGATCTGCATTTACTTGTTCTACTTCTCTACGTCATGTTTGTCATGCTGCGGTGTTGGTGCGTAGAGAGCAAGAAAGGTGAAAGGAGAAAGATTTTTAGAGAAGAAGATTTTCCGTCTCTTTCAGGTTTCGAACATAGGACCTATAGGATGAAAGGTAGACACCGTACCTTTAGACCACGAGAGCCCACTTCGATGTCTTTACGGCTTTCGGTCTCTGTCTGTGTCTGTCTGTCTGTCTGTCTGTCTGTCTGTCTGTCTGTCTGTCTGTCTGTCTGT